AATGAAAGCTGCTTAGGGGTGATATTTAGTACATAAATTATGTTAGGACATTTGAAAACTTCAGTTAAATCTATTTGCTCCCTCTGTGATTCTGCCAACAGTATGACTCTGGTTAACCTGCTCAGACAATATACAGAAGAAAACAGTGTGGTTCAGGAGCACTTCAGCAGTCCTCCCAAAGTCCTGCTGCACTGCAGTCCTTCACTGTAACTTCTTAATGTCAGATTTCCCAAAAGACTTTTTCCCCTTAAACAGCTCTTACCCAGGAACGAAACCCTATAATATACTCCTCCACTTTACTTCAGCCTTATCTTTACTGAAGAAGTTAACTTTTCTTTGACATTTCAAATGTTTTCAATAAAAAATAATTACCATTTAGAAATAAATTTAGCACCAAGTTCACGAAAAGATGCTGTTTTGTGACAATGATGTCTCTAGCATGATTTTCTGTGGAAGAGAATTTGTACAAGGTCAGATGCAGCCCACAGCTGAACGGCGCATCTTTGAGTTTGTACTTTCCATAGTTTCCTTTGCATAGTTTCTTTTCCTGATAAAGAGATGAGGCAGCCTTTTGCATTCCAAGTACATCTACACTGATACATCATGCAGTCATATTACAAATGCAGCATACGTTTAGTGTAATTCAGATTCTGAGTTGTCCAGAAAAATTATTCCTAATTAATCCCTGATGATCACAAAAGCAGCTCTTTTATTTTCAGCTGTTACCACAGAAAACTCCTTTGACAGGACAGTGAAGACTAGAACCTCAATGCCTGAATGAGGCCAGATCAGAAGGAAAATTAAAAGTGACATGTAGAAAGCATACTTTCGAAATACAGACAGTTCAGACATAAAAGGTTGGTATATGGTCTGAGCTCACCCAGGAAGTGCTAACTGCTTATTGCTGAAGTGGTTATTGCTTTATTGTTTTGTAAAATTAGAGGAGAATCACCATGAGTAATTCAGAAAAAAAAAAAAAAAAGTGTTTCCTCTGGAATGCAGTGGTACTAAATAATGCTCTAGCAGAAACACAGAGAGAAAAAAAAATCTTACATACTTTTGCCTTTTAAGGCAAAAAACTGTACCAGTATGATATGGTACTGTACTTTCATTTAAATAATATCTATGTAAAACCTAAATTGACGCAAAAAATTTTGAGTTTACTGAAAGCATGGTCAATACTGTACTTGGGAGTTTCTATAAATAGATTACAATCATGCAATCTAAGACAGATTTTGGAATGTGAAACACAGAGTTATGTCACCAAGCACAAGTCATTGTCCTGTTCCTTCCAGCAAGAATGCAGCTATCAAGAACATTTCATGCTCAGATCAACTGTGCATTTCAGTATCACTTGCTTTCAACGCCCACTGAATAAAAATAGAAAGGGACAACAGAGAAAGCTAAAAAAGCACACAGTCATTTAATAATGTATTTTTAAGTTGCTGGCCCTCTCCTTGTATTTCCTGCACAATCTATGTCAATGCAAATTTCAGCACCAACTTCAACAAAGCCAGAATTTAATCCATGGAGTTCATTCAAGAATTTTAAAGGAGGAGGGTAAAATGCAAGCTCAGTGGCCAAAACTAAAGAAATAAAAAAGATGACAAGGAAGAATACTGGCTGCCTGAATCCTAGCATGTTTTGCCTCCACTAACTTCCCTACCTTAAAGAGCGACATTTGTGACAACTTTCTTTTAAATGGTATTTTGCAGTCACTTAACCTCTTTGCCTCAGACTTCATCATCTGTGTAAAATGAGGAAACAAAAGCTTATTACCTCACGGAAATACTATCAGGATGCTTAAAAGCATGCTGCTTAGTAGTATCTGTTCTGAATGTTAACTTATGTGCACCCTCATAAACTTTTTTTCTCAGTATTTTTGATTTCACAGCAAACTATATATTAACATTTAAAAACATAACCAATGAAGTCTATTAATTGATCAATACATACTCTGAACTGTATGTAGGAGTAATCTCAAGAAATATAAATGACACAGAAAAAAATCTTCTCTTAAGAGGTAATCTTTCCCTCTGAGACTTTGAAAAAGGTCAGCATAAGTTGTTCAATACTATCTAGTGTAGCACATAATCAGCTTAAATATGTGAACTTTTTTTTTCCCTTTCATGTTCTGGATATCATGGCTTTGGACATTAAAAGGAAACTCAAAGAAGCATCACTTGTTTAAAAACTATAAATCTGCAAATCTATCTTCTGAAAAGAAAAAAAATGCCTCTTGTACACATTTTAACCTACACAGACCTAAGGAAAACGGGAAGGTATGATGCTATTTCCCATGTGCCACGCCAGTCAACACAAAACTCAAACTTATGGATTTTGTAATAATAAACCGAAGTTGTTGAAGTGCACATTGCCTCCTGCAACTTGCACAGAGATACATATAAGCATATGTAAAAAATAGGCATTGCTGTGTGAACGTGAACAAAAGTAATTTTGAAAGTCTGATAAATTACTTCATCCATCCAAATGCATAAATAGACACTGGCATACGAGTTTTAATGTACTGACAACAGGGTATCTACTTGTAGGACAGCACACAGAATCACCAACAGAAGGATGGGTCTCAATCCAGGACAGTGAAGACTTCCTACAAAGCTGTGCTTTGTATACTTTTACTGAATAACAAATGCATCCTATGATATGCTGGACTGTAAGACAAGATCCTACTAGCCTCAAGCAATTTGTAGTAACAGTACAAATCTGACAAACTCTGCTGCAGCGTTGACAAACTATTTTGATGTCTGACAACAAACTTGAAGTCACCACAGCTCACGACAGTATCTATGCTGTAAGACAAAAGCATTGCAGACAGTAAGTCCTGGTTCCTCCTGCTCTGGGACAGACTCCTGTTAGCATTCTACTGAACATAACCCTCCGTTTTGACAACTCTCTTTGGTTATAGTTTTCTAAAAAGTTTTATATAACTACTACAGTAATTTACATTTTTCCTAGCTAACTGTACTCACACAAAACCATACCAAAAAATCTTTAAAAGAAACTGAAAGCAACCCCCCCACCACGATTTTGTCTATTTGGCCTGTTACCCTCTCAAAGAAGGAATTTAAATTGACTTTTTTTAAACTGACAGGTTATATTTTATTTTGTAGATATCCAAATAGGCAACTGACTTGTAGGTTCTAACTGAATATAAAAAAAATCTGTACTGGTCTGAATAGAGTGCATTCAGAGGACCTGATTTTTATGTAAACGCTTATAAAAATTCAGCAGTTAGTGTTGAACAGTGCAGATGACTAATCCTCTACAGGTGACTAACTCAGTGATTACTATGTCTATGTTGACAACAATCGTATCAATTATTATTTAACAAGAAGAGCTCTCAAATAAAAGATATCAACAGATATTCAACTACTGGCAGAAGCAGAAGAAAGCGTCATGAAAAAGGTTTGCAATAGCATCCCATGGAGATCAGCTTGCTGGTTCAAAATACCTTGAAAACTACACCATCTAGTCACACAGCAGTCTACTGCTTCACAAAAGGAAAATCAAATTGGATAAAATTCAGAAAAACACACGCCTTCATTAATAGCAACCCACATCCAGTGAGATTCTTTTTCAGGTACTCCTCCTTTCTCTTGCAAGTAGGATTTCATATGCTTCACACGGATTGTAAGGGTCATTGACAAAGCCTTTCAAAAAAGTGCCTTTCCCCTACCTCAGTTACTAAAAGTGTTAAATCTAAAAATGTATGCTGGTCACTTATTTAAGTAGTAAAGGCTGCTGGTGGTACGCTGTCTATACTGACAATGTATTGTACCAGAGGACTTCTAGACATTCAGCCTTTACAAATTAGCTTCATGTTCCCTTAAACTTAATTTGAGTATGTTTTCCTTCCTTGTAACAGACCCAAGATGATAACAAATGTTTTCAGGTCAGTAAAATGTTCAAATTTATTAGTCTTGCAAAGCACTTCTAATTTAAAGATATCAGAGTGAAATCATGCCTACTTCCCCACCCCATTCATCTGCAGATTAAATAAATTCCAATATTGGAAGTCAATTTTTGTCCTTGAAATACTGACCCAAGGATTTTACTCCACATTAAAGCATTGTTCTGCCATTGTTAAGAAACTGGCATCTGCAACTTCTGAATTATATTGAAATGGAAACATGAGAAAATAGAGTATCAACTCACAGTTAATAACAGTTGAAAACATGGAAGTTTTCAAGCTCAGGCATACATTAAGTGAATCAGGAAAGAAAGCTACTTAAATCCTCAGAAGCTGATTCTTTCATCCTATTATGCAAAGATTTAATTTGCTCCCTGATGCTTGCAAGGTTTTTTCTGTGGCATTCCGCTCCTATCTGATTGACTCTATCATGATCTTGAGTCTAATGATTTTATGTCACCTAAACAGGAATAAACAGAGGTCCCCAACAAAATTATTTTTATTTCCTAAACTCAAATATTTACAAGTGGTCAGACATGTCTGTAGAGTCAAGGAAAGGAATTTCTAAACAATGCCCACTTCCTGTAAAATGTAGCTGCTTTTTAAGTGATCCTGGCATAAAGCACTGACCTAACAAAGCAATCACAATTTCCTTCTTTATTTGGACCCAGTAACTATATTAACTGGCTACAAAATAATTTTTTTTCATATCAAGTAACAGTTCACATTTTTTCAGGATCCAAAGCAGAACTGCAGCTACCACTTGCAAATGAACCTACTGGTTTTTTTAGACTCAGTTGTAAAGTAAAACCTTACTTTTTCATACCTCAGATTATTACCAAAAGAGGAAAACATTTAGCAAACGGTCATGCATGAGATGTTAAAAGCTCAACTGATACAATACTTGAATTTCCAAAGACTACATCCCATGGAGAGCTGATAGGCTGTTCTTCTCCTTTTGCTCCACCTTCCTTATCAACACCTTGTATCCCAATGCCTGCTACAGTGGTCACCATCTCCAGTTCCAGGTCAATCTGCAAGAAGCAAAATTATGCACACTGAATGTACAACATTAACTTGACTGAGGTTACAGATAATTTGAGCTAGACGTCAAAACCAGAGTTTCTGCTAACAAATAAAATCCAAATCCTAACAAATTTCAGGTATTTGAATGCTTGCTGATGGCCGGGAGGGGAAAGGGGAAGCAGGGGCCGCAGGAAAACTACATGCCTGGAATTCTCTTCCACGTGCAATAAAAACTAACACTGCTCTGTAAAGGTTTCCTCAGCAATTGTAGAAGAAAGCAACAAAACTTTCTAGAGAAATAGTCAGATGGACAAGGGACGTGGATGTTTTGCTTTAAACTTCTACAGGAATATGACATGAAAATTCAAATACTGTAACAGTATCTCCCATCTCTATAGAAATAATCTGCACAAAGCAAATTATTTTTGCAGTTTATTTCATACCCTGGAGCAAAAAATGTTTTAATTTTATTTCATTTCTGAAACCTAAATCCCTTTATTTTTCCTTCATCTTTTCCTTATTTTCTAAGTGACTTCCAATACCTCTAATGAATTTATCATTATGATTATTTAAAAAAGGAGTTTTTAATGCATAGCATCTTCTAACTTTTGTAGCAGTAAATGCATTCTTTTTGCAAGGCCCGTGGCCTGCACAAACATTTGAAAGCATATCCTGTAACTGCTGTATTACTTTAATTCTTGGACACACTCATGACATATTTAGATGAAGGGGAACAGCTAATTATCATGAAAAATGCTGAAGCAGTGGTCACCAGGCTACAGTGATGCATATTAGTAAAATGAGGAACCTGGAGAAATCTACTCAATTTTAGTAACAATGTTTCTTTACCAACAGGGAGCCTTGGTCCTTTGCAGAATAAAACCTGCTAGCAACTACAACAAATACAATCTAGGAAGTATGTGGACTTACTTAACAGTACAAAGGCACCCCAAATTGCGTAAGGATGTACCTCCTCTGATCATGAATCAGACAAACTGGTGAGGATCTGAGTACAAGATCTTCTGAGATGCACAAAATACTTCTAATAATAAGGTAGGATTATATTGCTTCAAAAAATTCAACGTCCAATTTCTAAATTTGACCTAAACAAATGTAAGGTCCAAAGATAATACATGTAAAAGAGTAACATTCCTATGTGCTAAAACGCTGCAAGCGTTTAATCAAAAAAAAAATCCATATGCAGACAATTCGGGAATTAAAGAAGTTACCTGTACTTTAGAGACCCAAACAGCTAACAAAAGTTTAGATATCCACTGAACCATAGCAGTACAATAACTTTAGATAAGAATCTGATACTACTGGAAGTGAAACAAAAACAATTTTTGTTTCCAGTACTAAGAATAGATGTTTCTCATAACAGGAAAGTAAGAGTCACTCGGAGAAAAAAAAAAAAAGTAATGCTAGAATGAGCAGCACATATCATCTTCATCAAAGGAAGCAGAAAAGAATATGTAGCCCTTTAAAAACCAAACTGCACAAAGCATTTATGTATAAGATATTGGGACAATTTCCTTACCAATGTTGAGGGTATTTGGAGAGTAATAAATCTGGTGTAAATTTTACCTGTGTAAGTAGAATAAGGTATAAGAGATTAAATTTTGAATTTCCTCATGGAAAATTTACCTTTCTAATTAGATGATTTTCTGTATCAGCTACATAAATAACACTATTTTTTATAGCAATCCCTTGTGGCGAGTTGAAAGCTGCCTCTGAAAATCTTCCATCTCTCCTTCCACTGTTTGGACCTATAAATCAAACAAAGAAAACTCAAAAGTAATTTAAAAAAAACCCTCAACCTTAAAAATAAAGTGCATACACTTAAACTTGTAAGAGAATTACATATTCTAAGAGATGCTTTCACAGCACCTTGTACAGTTTACATTATTAATGCTTTGTGTAATCTCATTTGAGTCACTGTGCTATGTAATTACAATAGCCTAGTCCTATTAAGTTTTGAACTCATTCTCCACAAGTTCTCTGCTTCTTTAAGCTCACCTTCCAAAGAGAAGTCTTAATAGGGGTCTAAATTGCTCCTGTTCCTTTGCACTAAAAAACAATAACAAATAACGGAAGACAGAAATAAAAAAACATCTTGTTTTGATCCCAACTACATCAAAGCAAGCCACCAGGAAAAGCTTTGAATTCCAAAACTCAATTCCATTTCAATGGTTTACATTTTGGTGTAATCACAAATGAAACATATTTGATTAGCAGAATTTTCTCATTAATAATAAGGAAAAAGATGACATGAAACTAATTACACAACATAACAGTGAGAATGATGGAGTGACAGTCTTCTGTACAGAACAATAAAGAAACAGAAAGGAACATGCCGTGAATATAATAGCATGAAGGTAAGCATCGTATTTCAGAGGCAGTAACATTTAAAGTGCATTAGCAGTATGTGTCAGCAGAAGACATTTAGATATGAGTTATGTATGCATCATGATTTATGATGCAAATATAGTGGTTTCAACCTTTTTGCATACTGTTTATTACTGTATTATCAACTTCATTACATTATTTTCTGCTCACCGAATCATTTAACTGATCACTGAAATACACAAACTTTTACAACATACTGTATGAAGACAATTTAGACCTTAACAGACATGAAGGACTGAGGTGCTGGTGTGTCAGATTCCAGCAGCTGTCCCTGCAAGCATGAGGGTGCACTTCCCCAGGGAAGGGAATAGCACAGAGTGCCACAAGAAGGAGCGGTACTACTTCAGAGGTTAGGACACTCCCCTCTGAACCACTGTTTAATGACTATCCCAGAACACTAAAGCGTAGCTTGTTGTCAGAGACTTCATCTCACTTACCAAACAGAAACCAAATTCTCTCACTTTTGTCATAAGAAAACCATAAGAACACCAACCAAACAAAAAACAAACCCCAAAAGCCTCCCCACGCACCACCACCACAATTCAACATTCATTTCTTCTATTGAAAGGGAGGAATCACTGTCTCTTTTCTTTTTCCTACCTTGATGCTAGATGTGGATGTACATCACTTACATCTAAACCCATTTGCAACTCTTTCAGAAGAACACAAAATGTATTTTTGTAATTCATACCGGACATTACATGAAAATACAAAACTTTAGTCAACGGAACAAAAAAAATAAAATTAGACATCTCAAGCAACTGCATTAACAGAGTCTCCCACTGGTGGTACTGTACTATCATAGAAATACAGAACGGTTTGGGTTGGAAAGGACCTTAAAGATCATCAAGTTCCAACCCCCCTGCCATGGGCAGGGACACCTCCCACCAGACCAGGTTGCTCAAAGCCTCATTCAGCCTGGACTTGAACACCTCCAGGGATGTATCCCCCCATATCCAGTAAAAGTGATTTTAGCAGGAAAAAAAAAAAATAATCTGGCAATGCTCATATACTGCTAGGTCCTCTAAGAAAAGAATCAGCCTAGTAGGACCAGCAAACATACTCTACTCCTAAACTAAAATTACTGTAATAAACTTAAATACCCTTACCTCCAATAGCGTGTAGAATTTGTCCATTTTTTCGAGTAACCAAAATCCTGTGATGTCCAGTGTCTGCTATTACCAGCCTTTCTCCTGATTTATCTACGGTCACTTTGCCAGGAAACAGCAGGGGAGAAGGTGGGAGGGAGTCTCTGTACAGCTTTATTCCAATGTTGCTATCTTTGATTTGTCCTCTCTCCTTGTAGAATTTCAGTGCAATAGAAGTAAACAAAAACAACTTCTCTCTGTGTCCCTCTCCAACAAGAGAAAACAGCATGTTACCACGAGGGCCAAGGATGACCAGAGTTGGCCAGCAGGACACTTCCAGTTCGTGCCACAGTGTTGCATCTGCATCATTTACTACAGGGTGGATAATATTATACCTCAGAATGGCACTTTTAATGTTATCCAGAACTTTTTCATTTGGGAATTTTGCTGAATGGACACCAACAATAATTAGACCATCTGAAAGGAAAAATAAAGTTGTGCATTGAAACATATTTGCATTTCAATAAAAGTAAAAACAAAGCACAGTTATCTGACAATGCGACTGACTACTTTCCAAAATGAAAGAGAATTTGAACAAACAAAAAGCAATCACATCGCAGTATGAATATAGATAGCTATGTAAACAAAATATTGGAACTCAGAAATAACATTTCAGTAAAATTACTGAACTTTAGGACCATTACTTCCAAAGCTGGTTGAAATTTAATATGTCATAAATTTTTCTTAGTTTCTTAACCTCTACATACTAATGTAGAAAATACTTTCAAAATAATTATGGGTAAGTTGCAGCAGTTCAACTGATACTTTGGGTTTTTTTTCAGATGTTTACGATGCCCTTTTTGTCTCTTAATTCCTATACACAACTATTGTGTTTTAGAAAAGGAATTATTTCCCACAGTTAACTAGGAATCACAGATGTGTGAACTCTGGAAGTCTAGAGTTACCTTGGCATAGCTAACTCTAGATAAACAGTAAAAAAAAAAGCATAAGGTTCTGAAATCAATGCAGTATTCTGCATTTCATGCAAAAATGGCAGCACTGACAACTATGACAGAATGACAAATAGCACTTGTTACAAACTAGGCAGGCTTGAACTCTTTTCCTTAAAAAAACAACCAACCGACCAACCAAAACCAAACCCAAAAAAGAACAAAAAAAAGGCAAGGGAGGACTAAATAATTGACTTTTGCCCCTCCCCTTAAAATGTTTATTTCTATATCTGGTTAATAAAGACAACAAAGAGTTTAGGTTTTCCCACAGCAGTGATAACTGCACTTGAAATCCCAGTATGAAGGTGTTGAACAAGCATAAAGTAATGTAATTCTGCTTATATACACTGCATACATAATACCAACCCTAAAATCAATCAAAAGCACACAATTATGAGCTTTCTTGAACTGTTTTTTCTTAGTTCTATGAAATTCGAACACAGAAATAAATATCATTGGTTCAGACTTCTGCTGGTTTTCCCTTGTGATTGGAAATAAATCTACTTCCACCCCATGTAGACAATTACGTAAGCAGCCCCAAATTTTCTACTTCTCTTTCCTAACCAACAGAAAGAGAATGAAGAGCCTTCCTTCAGTCAAGGCACTTCTCAGTACTTTCTAGGGAAAAAAAAAAAACAAACAAGAGGGGAAAGACAAGACTTCATCTCACTTTGTACTTAAAGAATATTATTAGCCAGAAGTATACTCTTGTTACAGTCAAAGTAACTTGTCAATTCTTACTGAAGTAAGGAAGACAACAAAAGTGACCCTGCAGCTGTAGAAAGCTTCAACACAATACTTTTAAACCAGAAATGTTAATCTAATGGAAATCCTTACACATTAACCTCACTACTTATCCAAAAATCACTCATGTTTCTGGAAAGCGCAAGCATTTTAATTTTTAATTCACAAGAAGTGTACTTTTTCCGCAATAATTCAGCTATCTTACACATTTTATTGCATTTAGCACCAACTGTTGTGTGTCACACAACAGTTAATTTTAAAATGGAAAGTTTCATATCAGATCATTACTGTTATTTGGCATTTACTACCTAATCCATTAAAGGGCTTCACTATTTATAAAACTTCAAGCACATATGTGAAAATAAAATGCTTTTGTGAAACAGTGATACAAAAGCCCTGCAGTCATAGTCAGTGGAGTTTTCCATTGCAAGAACAGTGAAACCAGCCGCCTGACCGAGGCCCAAAATCTAACAATGGCAAACAACTGCATCCAAGGACATGGTTTGGAATGGAATGCAGTATTTACTTTTATGCTTTTCTCCTACCTTTACAGCAGAGGTGCAATCTGGCTACCTGTACATCTTTGTTCTAGACTCACCTCTGGTTTTGTGGTAGAAATGTAAGAAAGGTAATTATTTCAGGTCTTAAATAGTTGTATTATTTGAGCTCAGACAAGTTTGTTTCCTTCTAAAAAAACCTAATTTAATCTCAGGTTGGCTTTTTATTCAGTTATAGAGAAATGGAAAACTATTTTTCTCTTTTAGCTCTCCTCCTTAACCATAAAACAGTGTTAATGGAGAACATAATCTTCAATTAGACAACGGGAAAGGGCAGAGTGCTGCATAGTAAAAAACTCAGTTGAATATAACAATTTCACAGATACAGAATTGAAAAATCACTAACTGGTACAGTCTTTATCAATCCTATAGGCACAGCATCATGTTGCAATATCAGACAGCTGAAGTTGTAGTATCATTAACTGCTGAGCTCCAAACAGCAGGGCAAATATTTTAACTGTAATACAATCAGCAGCAGCACTTACATTTGTCTTTCAAAAATATCATTAAAGCTAGAAAGACAATTCTAAACTGAACATCTGAACAGCACAAATAAGTTATAACATCCTCTCATGAAGAAAACTCTTGTGGAAACTGAGGAATGCTATGCTGTGACATAAGAAAATGCACACCATTTAAAACATTTTATTTGAAGGATTGTAACGGAGCACAACACTGGACTTAAGCCAAGCTATTTCTGAATATTAAAAAAGTACTCCCTCTTATAGAAGTAATTTCTGGATTGCTGATAACAAGAACTGAATATGCACTGGGGTTTAAAATAACTTTCTGAATGCCACTTGAAAAACAGAAATAGCACCACTGAAGATAGCAGTGAGAATATATCAGATAAAGATGCTAGGCGACATTTAATCCTATGGAAAGCAGGCTTCATTTTGAAACAAATCTCCTGAAGCTCCAGACAATGGAACTATATGCATATATACAATGATATATATAATGGTTTAGGATCACCCTAAAACTACAACTTCTTGTGTTCAGACTTCTCATGTCCGATGTTTCAACACAGTCCATGTAAGAGGGCATTTGAACCACGTTAAAAAGGAAAAAAAAAAAAAAAAGAGTACCAAAATCTGTGTACACAACATACAATCAAAACATACATTTCTGTAACTTATATCAACACTGAGGTTTGTTCGTAGTTACACAGAAAAATATAGGCAACGTTCTTTCAAATATTCAAACAATAGATTAAAAATCCAAATGCAATATGAGATAAGATGCTTTGTCAGAGTAAGATGCTTGTTTTCATTCTGACTAATATTGTCTGCTAGGTCAGCACCCTCTGCTGCTCAATAGCACAGTAAATGTACACATGAAATGTGTAAATAAATGCTATGTTTACAAATCTAAAGTTTAGTAGAGCTGCAGTTTCACTATATATTTAATAACTTGCTGCTGCCAAAAGGAATCGGATCGCTCATCTTTTGCACCAGAATCAGTTGCTTTGCAATCACGAGGTGATAGATTTTAGAACCCAATCAAAAGTAAACCTGTCTCCCATTCCCTGAAAGGAGAAGGGACTTTCATTAACTAAAGAGCAGATGAAAATAAAATGGAACTCCAGAGTAAGGCCGAACACCAAGATACCTGCATTAATACACCTAGACATTCTTAAAGCATTCTTTCGTATGTCTGACACCCTTTCTACTTCGTTTTATTCTTCCAACTTTTAACTTTCTCAAGTTTATTACGTCAACAATTCTCCCCTCCTCTCTCCCCTAGTGATTAGAACATCATGTTTGCCATTGGTGAAGAAGAGGCACATTAATATAGAACCATCTACTGAAGTATTTTTCTATGGCTTAAAAAACCACAACCCTTACTGCCTTGGTATATTTATACATACTACCGTAAAGCTAAAATTTATACACTTGGCACAGCAAAGAAAGATTAAATAACCCTGAAAAGGCTGACAAACAAAATATGAAAACAACAGAAAACAACCAAAAGGGAGATCTACAGTGAAAAAAACCCCCTTATTTTTCTTTGAACCATCAAGCATCTTAATCTATTCTTGAATCCAGCTGCTATTCTGTGTTTCCTAATGGATTAAATTCAAGATTAATGTTCCACACACCTGCTCTTCTTTCCTTTTGCCTCCACCTGTTTTTCCACTTTCATCCCAAGTGTCTTTTTTCTCACTCCAGTTCCTTTAGGAACAGGATAGCTCAAATCCAAAAATAATGTATTAGAATAGCTCAAATACAAAAAAGAATTTATCACCTATCAGCAAAGTACTTTCCTCAAGCAATAACTCATATAACAGGAAGTTTAATGCAAGTCAAACAAAAATATGTCTTCAAGTGGACCTCCAGTTCAGTTCAGTGTGCTGTAGCCTCTTCTACACCAGTACAGAGATGTCTGAATACTTTAAAGAGAAAGCTTGTGGGGAGAGGTTTTTTAAATTAATATTTTGTTATCAACTGATTTAACAGCTTAGTCTTAAAAAACAGATTAAGGATATAGTGTTATTAACATAACTGTCATACTACAAAACATTTATAATTTAAATATATTATTCATTATAGGATCAATGTAATCTTCTGAAATCTCATTCTAGACCTTCTTTCCAGCATGCCTGATATCCACACCAGTCCATTCATTATTTGCTAATCACCTTCCACTTAAAACTGCCTCCCTCTCAAAAAAACACCATGAAGAGTTTTTCCTTATTACATAAAGTTCCTTGTATCTAAAATATTATACCAGATCTCTAATTTCTCCAAAGCAAACAGCTAAGCTGTTCAAGGTAGAAAAATAAGATTATTTGAGTCTTCTGTGAAATGCTACATAAACCTCTAATATATATGAAAACTACTTAAAAACTTGACATTTCTAAGACATCGTAATTTCTTTTTTTTTGAAAGAAGGTAACACATGGAAATTAATGCTGCTAAAATTAAAAACAATCAGAAATGCCAATGGAGAATCAGAGACTTAAGCATTATAAGATAATGTTATTTATTACATATATATATGATAGGATACTTAATACAATATTTCTAGGGCTGAAAGTAACACTGTTCTTCATCTCACTCTTCACTCTATTAAAATATCCAAGATAAGTGAGTAGCTGATACATTCTGTGTAAGACCACAGCTTATCTCTGACAAGTCATCACGATGACAAGAGACTGCATTCTAAATAGTAATTACCCTGCATTTTTATTCATTCAGAGACATAAGATTTCATCTCAGCTGTTAATTTAAAGAACTTAATTCCCTTTCCAGAATGCAGGACTACCAATGGTTTATAAGGTGATGCCAATACCAGATTTCTAAACCAAGCTTACGTATTTTGTTATTTCAATTAGAATGGAAAAAACAAATAATCTTAACTATATCCATTCTACCACCTTTACTATATTCTGCTCAGAGTTGGTTCCTAAGTCAAGTGTAGAGGGTTAGGTACTTAAATTAACTTTGAGTCCATATCTTACACGCTTGTGTAGCTTTTTGCAACTCGCTTTATTTATGAGGATATCAGATTTGGGCTTGAAGCACATATCCTGTTTCTTTAATTATACAGACACAACAGATACCTTATTTAACCCCATTTAAAAATGTGATAGGAGGATACACAGTCACCTTTTTTAGGCTACTTAAAAAGATTAGAGGACATTTTTAGGCACCCCTGAAATTCTGCCAGCTGTTCAGTAACCAGCAACAAAGTGACTCAGCTACTCCGCCTGCAACACTGCCAGGAAATTCTATTTCAAGCAAGCCAAAGCACTTTTACCTTTATCAGAGTACTGGTGCTCTAATGCGTGGAGATCAGGCAGCAGGTGCAAGCAATTAATGCAGCAGTAAGTAAAGAAATCCAACACCACAACTTTTCCACAAAGGTCTTTGTGAAGAGAAATAGGACCCTCAATGTTTAACCATTGTAGATCTGGAATACAGGGAACAGAGATATCCAGTTAGGGGAAGGGTATGAAAAGGCAGACGCTCATACTAATATGAACAACACCAGTGTTCCTTGTACATTTCACTAAATAGAAAAAAAGTTCAACATCACTTTCTAGGCAAGTAGAAAAACAAACCATAAGTGTTCTGTTTATCAAACTCACCCGTTTATTCCACAATTCTTCACAGTTAGTAAATGAAAAAAATAGTACTAACAGGATTTAATGTAAAATGGGAAGTGCAGCTTATATAATAGGGAACTTTTAAGTGAAAGAACATGGAAGCCTCAAAACAATTTCCATACCCTTTAAACCTGTTAAATTCTTAAAGATTTTTCCAACTGTTTTGTAAAGAACTAATTTCAGAGATGACTGAAATACTTTTGTGTTTATAGTTTTTATCTCGCTTTTCAAAGTTTGAAATGACAGGTACAAATTAATCCTGTTATACGAGAAGAAATACAACCCTTTCAGATATACCCAGTAATACTCTCAGCCATTTGTTTTAACCACTTGATAGGAGATATGAAAGCATCTTTTCTCATTGGTCACTGATATTCCTCTGATCCCATTAGAAACTGGTATCAATATAGGAAATAAATGTTCTAGGATATGGTCTGCCATTATTATCACTTAACATTTCTCAAAGTAATTTGGGGAAAAAGATAGATGTGATACAATGCAAAGCTGAAGTAAATTAATGAACAACTATTTTTAAAAAAATGTATGCTGATTAATCTAAAAATCCTCAAAACTTTCACACTGACAGTTTCAGCAAACTAAGTTCTTACTGCCCCAGGAGAAGTTATTGCTGCTGAAGTCAGAAGGAGGTTTGCTTTCTGTTTCACCAAGAGGAGCACTGATATATTTATATCATATATTTATAAACACAAATGGATGCACATACATTCAGATTTGGTGACAATAATGAGAATAATTTATGAAGCATATGCATTATTTCCACTGTATAAGGGCTTTACTGTTTACTTGTTAAAGGAGTAGGTTATTTACTTTATGGCATTGCTTTCCTTTTCACTAGAATTAAAACACCTTTCATAAAAATACACTGTAAATGAAAAATGTTGGCTACCTATTTGAGCTCTTTTTAGAGGAGACAATAAGCTTTGACAGGACACAGAAACAATATTAATGACAAAAGTGAAAATTCAATTCAGGGGTTCAAACTGAGACAGAAAGAACATTCACTTTCCTCCACTGGTTAAAGTCAGAATTAATTCCAATGACAAACATGTGATTTTAACTCTGAAGTTTACCTCCTGAGGTCTCTGTCTTGCTGTCAGATGTGAGCTCCCACAGTTGCAGAGAGCCTCACTAAGGTTAAAAGGACCCTGAGCCGGACTTGCAAGATCTTCCAAGACTTAACCTTTGATTTCCCACTCAGCACAAGAAGATACAGAAATGTGTGAAATGTGCAAAAGGGAAATGGGCACATCATTGAAGAGGGGTGACATCTCCAGCACAGTTTGTATTATCAGGGACATGAAAATTGAAAAGCACGGAGAAGTCATGGGGAGAGAGAGCTGGGAAACATCCTGAGCGGCTGCACTGAAACCAAGGGAGCTCAGGAGAAAGCTGCCAGAGTTGGCAAGGTTCTCACCAGGACCCGAGGAGCAGCATATCCATATACTGTACAGAAAGGAAAGGCTTTATTTTTAAAAAGTGTTAATGAACCTAGTAGAGATTTGGAAAAGAAGCTTTAAAGAACAGGTTTTTGCAACCAGAAGCAGGGGGAGTATTTATAAAGTGGTTCTTTCGTCTTGTCTTTTGCTCCAGCTGCTTTCA